AACATATCTGCAAAGAATTCGAGATAAAACGTGTAAAGCTCCTACTGCGTTATTGTGTGTAGAACACGCTCAGTAGACAAAGCAATTACCACCAATGAGACGAGGAAGACTGGACGACTCCACGGATTATGTAGCATTCTTACTCTCACACTCCAGGGTCCAAAGATCTGACCTTCCAAAGGCTTACAGTACTGACAATATTTTCCACATAATAATACGTCCAGTGTTTGCTATGAGCGAAGACCTGCCTCAAGGAAAACTGAATAAATGATGGGGAACTTGGTCATCTACCTTCCACAGTTCTATAACTGCTTCTCAAATTAAATAAATGGACCCCCTCCCAAAAAAAAAAGCCCTATCAAAATCAAGGGACAGCAACAACAGTGTCCTCCCCAGAGGATAATCCAGAATTAGGCTCAATGTAACAAGCAGATAGGAAGTTTTGCAGGAAGCTAACACAGGATCTGGTCAGGAAACGGGCAAAATGGGAAGAAATAACTCCAGAATGGAGACTACCAGCTTTGGTCAGGGAAGCTGTAGAGGGCCCTGAAGGCCCAGGTATTTGGGCAGGTCTGATCTGAGCTTAGGGACTGGGTGCTGACAGATGGTGACCCACAAAGAACCTTTCCGGTGACCTGAAAGGCTGGGAAGGGGAGTCCAGCCTGGAAGTGGGAGAGGATGGGGGCGGACAGAATTAGCCAGGACAGTGGACTATGGGGCTGAGATGAATGGACAGCCCTGCTCACACACCTGTGTCAGTCGGTTAGAACTTCTTCCATGCCAACCTTATCTTTATTTTTTTTTAGTGGGACTGGGGTTTTAACTGAGGGCTCCACACTTGCAAAGTAGGTGCTCTACCACTTGAACCATACCCCCAGTCCATTTTGCTCTGGTTATTTGGAGACTATTTTGGTCAAATAATCTCAAGAATTATTTGCCCAGGCTGGCCTTGAACCACAATCTTTCCGATCAATGTCAGCCTTCCAAGTAGCTAGGACACAGGCATGAGCCAAGCCTGGCCCTATTTTTCATCTTATTTTTTTTTTTGGTAGTACTGGGGTTTGAACTCAGGGCTTTGCATTTGCTACTCAGGCCCTCTACCACTCGAGCTACACCCTGCCCTTTTTGCTTTATTTTACAGATAGGGTCTCAAGATTTTTCCCAGGGAGGCCTCGGACCTCAATCCTCCTACCTATGCCTCCCAGTAGCTGGAATGACAGACAAGGGTTACCACATCCAGCTTTCAGTTAGTCTTTGTGCGCACTGCTTTGAAGGGTACTGGGAGAGAAAAGGTGAGCTGGCAGAGACTGGGGAACATGGCATTGACTTTAAGAGATAGAAACAAATTGCCCTTGGCATGATCAGGTACCAAACTAGAATTCAACCCCCAAAGTCCTCTTTATACAAATTATTGAGTACAATTAAGTGGTGTTTGTTTGTTTGTTTGTTTGCTTGCCTACTAGAAAAATGATTTCCTCTGAAAACGTGTATTATTAGCAAATGCTACGTGCAGCTTTTACAGAAAGCTAATTGTCCTCATTAGACATCAAATTTGCAGTGGAAGTTTTACATATGCTTCGTTACGCTACTGGAGAGAGACGCACAAATGAACCTGTAGCAGGTTTAGAAGAACGCCACCAAAGAAAACCAGATTGGAAGAACATTCGTCCCCTTTGCTCCAGCTCCTACGTGTGACCGCGCTGCAGTCTATACCCATGGCGCCTCAACATACAGACTTCCACAGATTACCCAAGCTACAGGAAGTCACAGGAGACCCAGCTAATTCCCCAAGGTCAGGCCTGGTGGCTAGTGGCTAGGAACTTTGTAGTGGGTCCTGCCCCCCTTATCTCCCAGGGCACCTTCAGGGGATGGCAGCTACCCTATTGCTTCTGTCTGTTCAGCCAACCCCAGCAACCTGGGCAAGACTCCTACTGTCAAGTGACAGTTTGCCAGAGTTAAGCTGTGAAGCCCAGACACATTTTCCTACCTCAACTTTAAGAAGTAGGAGAAATTAATCCTATAGATTAGTAATTAAGGGAAAGGCATATTGCTGTTTTGTCTTATAATGGAAACATTCCATAATTTTAAGTTTTGCTGTTTCCCTGTTTCTTTTTTACTTAGTTATGTCAGGCCATAGCAAAGCACAGCAAAGAACTTTCAAGAGCATGACTCTACTCACAGCACCTGTTGGTTTTATGGGGTTGGGAATTATGAGAAAAAAGTCAGAGACTTTCTGAAAAACAAGTATATCATGACAGATATTTTGACTTTTTAAAAAGAATACCAGGGGCTGGCAGAGTGGCTCAAGTGACAGGGTGCCTGCTTAGCAAGCATGAGGCCCTGATTCAACCCCCCCACAAAAATATCTTGCTAGGTGTTGGTGGCTCACACCTGTAATCCTAGCTACTCAGAAGGCAGCGATCAGGAGGATTGAGGTTCGAAGCCAGCCTGGGTAAATAGTTCACTAGGCTCTATCTCAAAAATATCCAACACAAAACAGGGCTGGTGGAGTGGCTCAAGTGGTAAGAGTGCCTGCCTAGCCTGTGTGAGAGCCTGGGTTCAAACCCCAGTACCACCAAAAATAAATAAAAGTATCATGTTTTATTAGAGTTGATCTCATCACTTTTGGTTGTAAAACAACTGTTATCTAACTTAGAGGTTTTGCAACTCATTTAGTCAAGTCCCATACTTTCTTGAAATGAACTTTCTATCATATTTTTTCCCAGTGATGTAAATGAATCAGTTATGCAAGTAAGAGATTGCTAAATGTGGAAATTATTGTATGGTCAACACTTTGTTTGGTTTTGGGTTGTTTGTGGACTAACAGAGAATATGAACATTGTTTTTATTTTCTGAGTTGCCCTGAATCGGATTTAGCATTCCTAGGCTTGAATTAAGTGCTTCACTCTTAATCCCTTTTGTAAATTAGCATGGGGACTTGGTCCAGATGCAAAAGGAATTAGATTTCACTTTAAAACAACAAGGCAACAGACATTGGAAAACCAGAAAACACTAAAAACAAAAGATGTATTTAAATAACTTTAGCAAAATCTTATTTATTAAAAATCCGTGAGGAATGTGTGACATAGTCAGAAAGTCACAGGGCCCATGTGTACCTTCACCCTAATTGTGTAAGAGTTTGCTAAATCAATTACCAGCAGAAAATATGTCCAAGAGAAGGCTGAAACTTCTAAAGAGAGTGTTAAGTAATTCTAGACATTGTCAATATTGATCTCCCCATTATAAATTATTCTTATCCATAATTTAAGTCCACCTTGAACCTCTACTAAGTACATCTTCCTTAACTTTTACAGGATTTGCTCCAGTGATGAAGGTAGCTTGTCATTGTTAAAACTGAGCGTGAGATGAGTTTTAAAATGAAAAGTCAAAGCCTATATCTAAACCAGACTGTCCTAGTGGTTTCCTTAGAGCAGTCGTGTGCTCTAGTTTAACAGATCAATCTGGAAACATCCTGCCAATTCAGGGTCTCCTTCTACCACTTGGTCATGTACTTTACTGTCAAGGCACCTCTGTTTCTCCTCAGTACCTAAAAGATTTACAACCATGAGCCACTTAGACAGGGTCTAGCCCCTTAAAAGCTAGTTCTTGTTATGGCTAACACAGGTCAGAGATGCAAGTCACCCTCTTGTCATATGCCCTGTGCATCGCTGAGAGAAATTTCTGTGACATGATGCATTTTAAAAGACACCAGTGCACCACAACCCGGTTTGGACCCTTCAAGTTATTCTCTCTTCTGGCCTCCAGCCACCTAACTTAGCCTGCCAGGTACCTCTGGTTAATTACACATGGGTTTTATGCAAGCGTCTCTGCAAAATGGTCTCAATTCTCATTTCTGTGCACCTACCTCCTGGTCTTCCCCCGTCAACAGCCCTTTTTAAATCAATTCCTCAGATCCTTAGAGGAGTTCTGGATGTCCCAGACATCCGGTGAAATTTTTCATTAATACGTAGACTTTGGGCAGCCTGTCCCGAGCTGGCAGACTTTGGGCTCCAAAACAAGCAAATAGGTGAGCCGCGGCTCAGAAGGATGCGAGGCCAATTTGGGGACGGTCCGTTTGCACACGATAAGGGCTAGGGATGGTGACGCACCTGCAGAAGTCCACTAGAGGGAAAGGAGATAAACCAGGGCTGGATGTCGCGCACAGAAGGAGAGAAAGAGGGAGCACGAGAGAGAAGCAGCACCCGGTAGGTACCTGACGATTGACACCGCTCGATCGCGACACGATCTCCAAGACACCCCCCCCCGCCGCCAGCGCCCCCTCCCCGGCCGATTACACTTAGCGCATCTCTGGGGCCGACCGGGTGCGGGCGTGCCCGCCTCCCCTCCCCTCCCCCCGCGGCGCGGCTCCCCGCCCCCCCGTCACCCCCCACCCCGAGAACGCGGTTCCCCAGTGTCCTCTCGAACGCCCGCGTGGCTGAGTTTCGAATCCCGGCGCCGACCCTCGCCCTCCTCGCCCTCGGTGCGGGCCACGGAGTCGCTGGCCAGCCTTTGGCCCCCACATCAATCATTAACGGGTTGGCCTGAGCTGCAGCAGCCCGAGGAGGGGGATGGTACGGAACTGGAGACTGGGGACAACTCTCTCCCCCGCGGCGGCCACGAAACCCTAGCTGGGGAGGCCCCCGCCCTTCCCCGGTGCGCCGATCCCTCCCTCCTTCCCTCCCTCCCGCCAGCGCCTCCAGCACATCCCCGCCTCCCGCTCCGGGGGCGGCGGCACAGCGCCCGCACCGCGCGATGCCCAGTCACCGCAGCGCCGCCGCTGCCGCCGCCGCCGCAGTCCGCCGTACTGCTGCCACCGCCACCGCCACGGCCCACGGCCACGGCCACCGCCACCGCTGCCGCAGCGCGGCCGGCCGCGCGAGCAGAGCCGGGAGCTTGGCGAGCCCCGCGCGCTCCTGCGGCTCGCCGCGCTGCCTGCTGATCCTCTCCTTCCCATTTATCCTTTTCCTTAGGAGCGTCTGCTCGGAGGCGCAGGTCTGCTCTGGAGCCTGCAGCGACGCCCCCGGCGCTGGCACAAAGGCTCCGACGGCGACCGGCGGGGACTGCCGAGCGCGCGGGAGCCGGCGCCAGAGGTCGCCTGCGCGCGCCCTAGCCGAGCCCCGGGCACCATGCCGCGGCGTCTGCAGCCCCGGGGCGCGGGCACAAAAGGGCCGCCTGCCACAGCGGTGGCAGCTCCAGGGACCGCCCGGCAGTCCCATCCCGCTGCCTCCGGGGACCCCCCCGCGTCGGCCAAGCCGCTGCTGCGTTGGGATGAGGTGCCCGATGACTTCGTGGAGTGCTTCATCCTGTCCGGCTACCGGCGCCTGCCATGTACGGCGCAGGAGTGCCTGGCCTCGGTGCTGAAGCCCACCAACGAGACGCTCAACTTCTGGACGCACTTCATCCCGCTGCTGCTGTTCCTGAGCAAGTTCTGTCGCCTGTTCTTTCTGAGTGGCCGCGAGGTGCCCTTCCACCACCCCTGGCTGCTGCCGCTGTGGTGCTACGCGTCGGGAGTGCTGTTGACCTTCGCCATGAGCTGCACGGCGCACGTGTTCAGCTGCCTGTCTCTGCGCCTGCGCGCTGCCTTCTTCTACCTGGACTACGCATCCATCAGCTACTATGGCTTCGGTAGCACGGTGGCCTACTACTACTACCTGCTGCCCGGCCTGAGCTTGCTGGACGCCAGAGTCATGACCCCCTACGTGCAGCAGCGCCTGGGCTGGCACGTGGACTGCACGCGCCTCATCGCCGCCTACCGCGCGCTCGTGCTGCCCGTGGCCTTCGTGCTGGCCGTGGCCTGCACCGTGGCCTGCTGCAAGAGCCGCACCGACTGGTGCGCCTACCCGTTCGCCTTGCGCACCTTCGTCTTCGTCATGCCGCTCAGCATGGCCTGTCCCATCATGCTGGAGAGCTGGCTCTTCGACCTGCGTGGGGAGAACCCCACGCTCTTCGTGCACTTCTACCGCCGCTACTTCTGGCTGGTGGTGGCCGCCTTCTTCAATGTTAGCAAGATCCCCGAGCGCATCCAGCCGGGCCTCTTTGACATCATCGGCCACAGCCACCAGCTCTTCCACATCTTCACCTTCCTCAGCATCTACGACCAGGTGTACTACGTGGAGGAGGGCCTGCGCCAGTTCCTCCAGGCGCCGCCCGCCGCGCCCACCTTCTCGGGCACCGTGGGCTACATGCTGCTGCTGGTCGTCTGCCTAGGGTTGGTCATCAGGAAGTTCCTAAACAGCTCGGAATTCTGCAGTAAGAAGTGAGCCTGCCACCACTGCCACCAAGGAGGAAAAACGAGGAGGAGGAGGAGAAGGAGGCTCCTGCTGGTTTGCCCACCTGTTTGGAGTTTCTGTTGTTGGTTTGTTTTCAGGTTTTGTTGTGTTTCCTTCTATGCTAGAGAAGTAGAGAAGGATGCTGCAAAGCCACAAGGGGGGAAAGGAAGTTCATTGCGACCAGGGAGGATTAATTCCCAGTCCACTTGGGGCTTTGGAAGAGGGAGATGGGATCCCGCAGGAGGAAGGGGCCTGCTGGTTCTTGGCCCTGGGAAAAATATGCAGGTAGTGTCGGTGATGTCCAGGGATTTTACAAAGGCAGCGAATAAAGTCCCAAATAAAGCCCCAAACAGTTGGCTATTCTAATGGTCTTCTGTGTCGGCGATAGTAACAGGTAGCCCTCCAGAGGTTAGGTATGTTGTATAGTGGATAGACAAAATCTCTGGGTATTCCCATTTTAGCCTGAGGAATGTCTGGATTTGTGAAAAGAATGGAGCTTTGTAGAAAATGGGGCACAAAGACACAGACCCAAGGGCTTAACCTGCTAGAGTGCATGGAATGTAAACAGGAGCAAATGATTTCAAAATGTTTCTCAGATATTATTTAAATAATAATATATACAAGTTTATTTCATAAATTATCAAAGCCTGTGATATGCACTGAATTTTCTTTGTCACATAATTTAGAAGTTTGCAGCCTTCTACATTGCGCACACTGGAACCTGGAGAGTTCTCAACTTACTTTCTTAAAGCAGTGTTTTCTGAAGGCCTGTGAGTGTCATGATCCACTGTGAATGACTCTACCTTAGGGACTCTGGTTTAGACTGTTGGTGAGGAAGCTCAAGTGGTTTGTATAGATCCCAGATTCCTCTTCAATGTATTCCACAAAATCCATCCCAGTTTTTTTTTGTTGTTGTTTGTTTTGTTTTTTATCTTATTCTTTCCTCTCTACTTATTTCAATTGCCACTGGAATAAATGCACCTTTTGAAGCAATTCCCAAATGACTGGTCCTCAGACACAGTTTCTTGAATGGGGAGAGTAGCAGAAATCATGGTTTCTTATTTTATTGCAAATCCACGTTTTGACATTCCACCCAGGAAGGAAGGAAGATGGTGTGGCCTTTAAGTTTTGAGTAGGATTGGAAGTGGCTTACATAGGGGCGCACAGGGCATTTGACTTCTCTTTCTGGAGACAGAGCCAACCCACTAATGTGACTGTGGTTCCTAATGCAGCCGTGGGGGAGGGCAAGAGGGCACTCATGCCATCCATCCTTGCTTAAAACTGAAAGTGTAATCTTCAGGAATAAATGAGACTTCATATTACGAAAGTCAGGCCTGTTATTACTTGGGTTGTAACTGAAATTTTTGAGTTAAGTAAGGTTACATTGCCCAGTTAAACACTAAGGTCTCATTTGGGTCCAGATCTATGGCAATGGTTGTCAGTCACCCTGAGTCCTAGAAAAATCAACAAACACATCGCAAGGTGCTTTCAAATGGCCAGGTTGGTTGGTGTTATTTAGATATTTCTTATAAATGCTAACATGCAATTGAAATGGCCACTCTGGATGAACCCAAACCACTGAGTTAGCTTATTTAAATACTTGTTGATACTGCTTGGTAAATGGTTTGGGTTAAGTCTTTATGGCCTAATGCACATAAGATTGGCGAATCCTTACCTCAGCACTGATTGGATGGCACTCCTAAAAGCACTGCTGTTTTATTGATACTTTAAATTGCTACTGTGCTGATGAACAGAGTTCAGGACAGTTCCCTGAAGGAGACATATCCTTGTGTGTACTAATTTGCACACAGAAATTAAGCACAGGGATGTCTACAATTAATTCAGGTCCTCCTAATGGGATTGTGAATACCCTTTGCACAACTCGTAATGAAAGCTAGTGTCTTGTCCTTTGCCAAGTTCAAGGGAATTCCTGTTAGGTTACAGAGGTTGGTAAGTTGTACTTACCACGGACATTATTCCTCTGCTCTGACTTCATTCAGCACAAGTTCAAGGACAACTGTTAACCAGGATATTTTCACACACAAGCTTATCTCATGTCACTCTTATCTCTTTGAGCCACACAGAATGTTGGTTCAGAAGCTAGGGAGCTGGGCTGAGTATGCTACAGCTTCCTTGGCAAATGGGAACTCCCCTTCAGAAGGAACTTTCAAAGGAGCTATGAGTTTGAGAACAGAAAATAACCTCAGCATTTGTCATTTTAAATTTTTCTTGGAGCTCTTCTGTGTCCACAAACAATTGTCTTCTTGCCCTGTGTCTTCTGCAGAGGCCATTTAAGGATAAAATGCTACCCATATCATTTTGAAGTGACTGCTGCACTAACCAGTGAGATGGCACACTTTTCCTGGGAAAGATTTCCAGACAGAATGAGGACTCACCTCCCTTTCATCTGCCTTTTCCTCCTCCTACTCTTTCTTCCTCTTCTGCCTTAGATGTTCCGTACCATGTATTACACTGGCAAGAAAACGTTCTGGTTGAAAGCAGTGGTTTGGCTTCGCTTCATATTCGCAAATAGGTACCACATATGCTATTTAAGACCAGGGATGGTTTGTCTAACTATGTAGGTTATTCGCCAAATGGTATATCAGATTTCTGTCAAGAAAGATGATACTGTTTAAGAAGTAGTTGTTCACTGACTCTCCACATTTGCATGAAACTCTCCAGGTTTATTACACACTTCAGGGAAATGTGGGAATCAGAATAAATATCTTAGAAATATTTTTCCACCCTCTTTGTTTTGCCACATCCATTCAAAGTTGGCTTTGCTTTATTGTGCTCAACTGTTTGAAATATAGGACAAATTAAGAATAAGAGCTCACCCCATTGTCTTCATACAGTCTATTTTAGCAGTAGAATTTGGGAAGCACATTATGTAATACATTTTATTTTTACTTGTCAGTCATGATCTAGGTGACAGCTCAAGGAGGAGCACATTGGAGTCATGCCTGAGAAATGAGGGTGTCTGTCTTCTGTGCTTGTCACCCTGTGCGTGGGTCCCTGGGGCTGACTTCATTGGTTAATGGGTTTCCTCTCTTTCCTGTCCTCCTTGCAGCTCAGGTAAAGAAGGTGACCTTCCCAGGGAGAGGAAGTGGTATCCTTTTTTCATGTCATGACTGGTTTGTAAAAATAAACGTGATCTTTTTCCACTGGCCCTACACTTTCCATAAATAGCCCTGGAAGAAAGTGTGGGGTTCCCGAACCAACCAGAGTGGCCTTCACAACTTCCATTCATAAATCGTGCCTCTAAGTGCTTGCAGTCCTGCAAACCAGTTAGCCTAACTCATCATCCTATGTCATGGGAACCATTTCTAAGAATGTAAAACTTGGGGAGGGAGGTGATTTTTATCATTTTTGTCTGATTTGGTGCTGAATCAAGGCTAACAGCAATAACAGATAGGGATGCTAATTGGATATATTATATATAATATTTAGATATATATTCCTTTTATTAACAACATATAATTTTTAAATAGAGCAAAGCAAGAGATAGCTGTCTTCAAAATTAGATCTTAGATTATAAAATCTTAAAGTGTTATTGGCCACTTAAATGATTTTGTCATCTTGTTCTTCATCTGTTTTTTTTCCATTTGTTGTTTATCTGTTGAAGTTTACACTGCTGACTTGGTTCTGTTAGGGCCTTTGAGTCATTGCTCATTCATTCATGTAATCCTGTTAAGGACCACTGAACACCTTTTCTGTATACAAGACACTGGACAAGGATCCGTCCATCCGTCTGTATTATTGACAGTCATTACTTTGTCTTGTGGTGGAGCAGAGTTAGAAGTTTGGATCTTTTCTCCTATTAGCATAAGAGCATAGAATCTTACCTGAATCAATCTGTTAATTTATCTGCAGTCAGTTTCTTGTTTTTCTGTCTGCTCCAAGGACTAAGGTTAAAAAAACTTGAAAATTTTAATGTACAATTCAGATGAAGGGATAGTGTGCAGAAATGAAAAATCTTATCTTTGCTACTAATAAAGATAATAATGACAATAACTGTTGGGAGGCTAATAGTGTCAAGATCATTATAAAGTGTGATTCATTCAAAGTGCCAAATTGTGCTAACATTAAGTGAATTTTATAGACAGTATAATAAAGTAAAACACAGAACACACTCACAAATGAGTTTAAATGCTTAAATCTCCAAAAATAAAACTAATTAATGCCCTAGCCCTTTTCCTGTTTTAAGATCTTTGGGTTGTTTAGAACATACTGTAGAAACAATACATCTGGTGGAAATCGTTTTTCAAAACAGGGGTAAAAAAAGACAGGAAGTGGGCATGGGAAAGAGAGAACCAGAAGGACACAGCTAGACTGGGGCAGAAAGTTGAACTCTGGACAGTTTGGGGTATAAATTTTTTCCTTAGAAAAGCATGTGAACTCCTAAGGTGTAAGTGCCCAGACAGGTAGCAAGGAATTCCATCTGGCATCTGAACTACATCCTGTAACATTTGACTTGAGCACAGGGTGCTGGGATATATTTTGAGTAGGGCATTTTCTCCCTGGCTTAATGTCCCTAATTTGTTTCCATAAAATTACAACATAACTCGAACAGGCATTGGGGGTTAGCACCAGCCAATTGGAAATCCACTTTTGAATCATTTTCTTGAAGAATTGTAGTACTCTCTGACATACTATCAGAGAGAAAGCCTGCAAGCCTAGCTAGGCTCACTGGTACAGGAAACCTTCAATGGCGTTTCCTGATCACTGCTGGATTCCTTTGTGAGAGGCCTCTTGCCCTCCTACTGAAGATTTGATTTCTTTAATATTGTGAATAATTATTTCTTAATTGCAAAAAATGGATGTCAATTCTTAGTCACTGTTCCAAATACCTCAACACCATTTTCGCTTATCATTTTAAAAAGGACAACTGTATTGCGTTTCTGGCTTGCAAATTTCTAAGGAGTTTGCAGGCTTTTTTTGTTTTGTTTTAAATCATCTTCTTACAGAGTCTGGGAGCAAGTTGCAGAATTAGAGTGTTTATTTATACATCAGGGGCCAAGAATGCTCACTTAGCTATTAATTGTGGCACGACACAACTTTTGAGAGCTCTGAACACACACTTACAGGTTCACTTTTTTTCTGTTTCACTCAATGAAAAAGCAGCCTTTGCGCTGAGCTTTTGAAAATCTTCCAAGTGTTTTGTGTTTCTAAATGTAATACAGGAACTTTAATGCTTTTGTTTCTCAACCTCTTGAGGCTGTTCCAAACTGGGCATTTCTTAAGGAAAATCTCTTGAGTGTACAAACTTATTCTCAAGTGTGTAAAAAATGGCAGGCCACCCTTCTCAGGCCTTACAGCACCTCCCAAAATATGCAATAAACACTCCAGACAGAGTAGGAGGGTCTTCAGCTGATCACTGAGCCATGTCACAAAGATGGCCTTGTGTCTCTCAGTTTATCACAACATCAAGAAAGGACACCCCGTCATTAAATCTTGTTTCTGAATGAAATAGTGGGACACTATTCATTGGAACAAAATTTCATTTTGTCTTTCAGGTCCATCTGAGTTAGAAAGCATAATCTGTTTTTAATATGCTGCACGCAAAAAATA